AAGTCTATGCGTTGGTCAGTATTAGCTTCAAATATACAGGAAATGAAATACAAATAGAATATTCCAAAAAGTTTGCAGAAAGCATATGTCCAAGTCTCCGTCTCCCCTTCCTGGCCAAAAGAGAAAGAAGATGTTTCTCGATCTCCTCATACCATCATTGCGAGCATTTTTTTAAGAACATGTAATTACATATATATGAGTGTATAGACAACCATGCACATACAAAAGATATGTGAAAAGTAGAAAAGAAAGTAGAGAGACCAAGGAACAATGATGGCGAAGTTAAAAACCAAAGTGGGTGCAAGTGTTGAGTCTTTTTCTTAGTGGTTATATACCTTTTGTTTCTCATATCTTTTTACCANAATGTAGAAAATTCTTATTTTTTAAATATATAATTTCCCTAAAGTTATCTACTCGATCCTCCTATTTAATCATCTCTTGTAATTATTTTATCATTATTTCTTAGTTGGGATTGTGGCGCTGCTGTAAAATGTAACATGAGTATATTGGTTCCACTTTGTAATCAACACATCACTCAAATCCCATTTTCAAAAATCTAATTTCGTTCGAAATTTTTCTGTTTAGTAAATAGTACCATCAAAATGTTCAAGTCTTATTTCGGTGTATCTTGAAACATGTCTCAACAAGTTTAGAAGTGATAAGTAGACTCAATAGAATAAATTTAAATTTAAACACAATATACCATTATTATTTATCTTCTTATGAAGAAATTATGGATTTTTATATGCATTGAAAAATTCAACCATATAACTTTTGGTCAAATGCAATATAATCCTCAACTATATATATTGGTGATGGTTGATGAAACTTAATCCTTTATTCATATCATTTTTCTCGAACACTGTCCTCTATTGCACAGTAAATAATTGAGGTGCAAGAATACGCATGCCAACATTCTACAATGTGTTAAAAGGCTAAGATTCAATTTCCTATAAATGTGGAATTATTTAACCACTCTTATTTAGTCAGCCGAAATGATGCCACACTTTAAATCTATTACAAGACTTGCTGAGTGGGCTATTCGACGGTTAAACTCATCCCTGAGAGAGTTAGTCGGGTGATAAAAACTCGGATCACACCCCATGATTCTCAACAAGAAGAAAAAAAAAACATTCCACAATGTATATCAAGAGAAACCTTTTTAACTGTGTCACCTACCAACAATACCCAACAATAAATGCAATTTGTAATACTGAATGACCTACTGCAAATAGTTTGTTTTCAGCGAACATGAGGAGTGCTACATATGGATATAGAGTCACCGTTCAGATTAGGGTTCATACGTGGGATGTG